AGCCGCCGGCGGCTCCCACCCCCACAGCCTGGCGCCTCCATCCCGCCCCAGCTCTTTGGCGTCTCCGCGGAACTCCCTCTGCGAGTAGGGCCTGGGGTCGCCTTGCTTGCCTGCTTGCCTGCCTGCCTGCCTGCCGCGCGAAGGCCTCCAGCGCAGGGATCCCTCTCCGCCCCGCTTGCCCGCTCTTCCAGGGAGCTTCAAGGACAGGGCGGCTGAAAGGGGTTTAGCTGCTGGGTCAGAGGCTCGCGTTGCACCGGCGCCCAATTTTGTTAGGCTGCGCTCTCACGAAGTCAGCCCATCCATCGCGCAAGTACTCCTGAGGCAGAGTCTGGCCCCAGCAACCTGCTGGCTCCCTTCACATCTGCATTATGGGAAGGGCTTTTCCAGCCCGATGTCCACCACAAGCTGGAAAAGTACAATCCTAATGCCCCCCCACCCCCCAGCATGGGACCTGCAGTCCATCACATTGGGCAGGGAGTACCAGGCTGGAGAAGGCTAATGTACAGGAAGACTTTAGATACCGTAGAAATGCGGCAATATGACAAGTGGATCTGATCTATAAACATACCAGTGGCACAAACCCTGTTCTGTGGGTTAAATCACCCCAGCATCCACTCCCACAAAGCCCTTTGCCCATCCTCCCTGGGTGCAGGCTGGGCAGCTTCACATTTTGCCTTCAGATCCTTCTTCGGTGAGATGTTCTCCATCTGACTTTCCTCTGAGTTCAGTGGGAGCCTCAGCACAGAACCCCGATCCTCACCAGCAGCCTGAGACCAGTCAGAAGCCAACCCTCTCTGCTGATGAGAGAGAGCCCTTTGCCACGGAGACCCGTCTGCCTGCCCCCATGCCCTCGTGGCCTTGAAAGGGAGCTCTCCCATGAGTCTCCCTTGGCTCGGGGTTGTTGATGCCATGATGGCAGCTCTTTTTCTCACTGTGAGGCAGGCAGTGAAGGGAGAAGAAGAGTTACTTACAATGCTTGGTTTTTTTTTTTTTTTTTTTTTTACATTTCGCCACTGTCCACAGTGAATTTGTGGTTGGTTGATCAGCTTGCATCAGAACCGTGACCTGGTCTTGACACAGTGCAAGAAACAATCTAGTACCCATGATAAATGAAGTTTCTTTCAGTTTAAACAAAATGTATAAATACAGTAAAGCAGCACACAGAGTGTCACACGAGGAGGGAACACCTGGCTATGCATTAGCACCATTGAGAAAGAAGTGAGTGTGTGTGTGTGCTTCGTCCAGGGAAGTGACCATCAAGCAGCTGCTCCTTCTGGCAGGGAGACAAGCGTTCCTGCAGGTGGGCCTCTGCAGCCTGGGCTGAGTGCCAGCCCCCGTGTCCCTCTCCAGGGGACCCCAGTGACGGAAGAGGGCCGCACGGAAAGCAGCCAAGGTTATGGGGCGCAGAGCACTGAAGGCAAGGGAGGAGCAGGATGTCCCCCGATTCAGCAGGAAAAAGGCCCCAAAGAAGGTGCCGAAGGGAAAGGGCTCTACCGCGGGGGCAGAACATTCAGTGCGAGTGACCTGGAGGTCAGGCACGGATCCTGCCTGGGGAAGAAATGCTGCTGCAGGCAGAAGGGGTCCCCAGCAGAGATGTCCATCCAGAGTCTTCCCTGGCAGGGGGCTGCTCCCAGTGTCTACTTTCAGGCAGCCTCAAGGAGAGGAAGACACAGACTGGCCCAGTGGGATGAGCCTGGGGGCCCAGAAAATGTCCTGATGTATTTCCAGAAGGGAGAGGAGAGGGAGGGAGATAAGACCTCACAAGACAGCAAAGGGGAAAGAGAGGACCTTGTGCCTTCCAGCAGGCAAGAGAGACGAAGAAGAGCCGATCCTTCTTCTCTGTCCTTCGGCACACGGAGGTTACATGCACAGACACAGACACACACCCTTCCAGCACAACAGATACATCAGAAAATGGCAATCATCAATGCATTGGCTTTGTGAACACAGTAACTCAGTTTTGCTTTGGGCTACTTCTCTCTGGAGAAGGAGGCTGCACACAAAGGCTTAATCCGCAGACAAAGAAAGCATTCAACGGGGGCAGCCAGCGTGGAGGTGGGGTTTTCCCCCCCTTTGGCTGAACAAAGCAGTGCTGGGTAGAAAGAGAAAGTGAGCCGAGCAGAAAAGAAGGGGTGATATTTTCCCAGGCCAGACACACACCAAGAAGGAATATCTGCCCTCCTCCTCCCTACCATGCCAGAAATATCCCAGGTGGGCAGAAGGAGCAGTACAGCCCCCACCCCACCCTGTCTGCCATCAGCGCTGGCTGCAGCCAAGATCTTGGCGGAAGCAAGTTCAAAGGGTGGAAATTAAGGGTGCTGAATGCCCCGTCCTGGACGCCGCAGCAGCCTTTCCTTGCAGCAGGATGGGGGTGCAGTAGGGCCCAGCCTCCTTCCCGTGGCACCACCCAAACAGCTGTTCAACGTGCTTCCCATAAAGCCCTCGGGGACCCCCGGGACACAGTACAGCCTTGCTTCTCGTGACTTCCCACCAACCAGAACCGTTCAAGCTGAGGGTCCTGCAACTTCCCAGCAGAAGGGGTGAAGGGTGTGGATGGCTGGCCACCTCTGGAGCACTTGGTGAGGATGGAGGGTAAGGCTTTTCTGTGATGGCATCACCTGGCCGAGAGTATCTGGGGGGCCGTTACTTCCTAGGGATGCGAAGGGGACTCATAATCTCCTCATATTTGGGTGGGGGATCTCTGTAAGACAAGTTGGGCTCCTCTGCACCGCTGCTGCCACAACAGTCAGGCTGCCCCGTCACTTCTTCATACGAGGGGGGTGGAGTGGCACCACACAGTCTAGACAGGGGTGCAGCCATGTGGTCAGGGTCACCGAGTGTCCTGGCCAGCTGACTGGGCAGCCCCTGCCCCCACTCACCATTGGCAGCCCCTCTGCCACTTAGGTCCCGCTGGCAGTGGGCTTCGTTCTGGCTGGGGGAGGCCTCCCGGCACACCATCACCCTGGGCAAGCTGCGAGCTGCTCGGCTGGCCAAGCACCTATTCTGGGGGTAGGAGGGTCGGTGGCGCGTGACCTTCTGTAGCTGGCAGCGCCAGATGATGAAGAGGCCAATGATAATAAGCAAAGCCACGCCTAGCAGGGGCACCACCACGTACATAGCGTCTGAGCGGTCTGTCCCATCTGAGGCATCTTTGACGGAGTAGGCGTAGCCCTTCCAGAACTCCATCTGTCAGGGGTGGGAAAAGCCAGTCATCAACAGTTCATCCTCCCATCTCAGCCCCCCAAGAGGGGTTAGCTCCAAGGTGGCGCAAGGATGTGGGCCCCTGCACCAGGAGCCAAGCAACCGCTCTGAGAGTTGGAGTATTTCATAAGGCAGCTGATGCCCACAGAGCAAGACCCCCACCCCCACCCCACATGCAATCACTCAGTCCCATCACTTGGAGTCAATGCCCGGAGAAATCACTAAGACAAGACTCTCCAGTATACTTATCCCTCTAACTTAAAATACACACTTTTTCCTTAGGCCTTAGCTGGCTAGCAAGTTCTTTGTTTTCCATTCCCCCAACTATTAGCTCATTCTGTTTTTCTCATGCAAATTTTTTCCTCTCACCTACCTGCCCACTCCTCACTCTTTTACACCATGCAAACAAGGGCTCTTATTTCTGTTTTGTGCAGTGAATAATGAGCCTTTTCATACACTACATGGAACAAATTTTATTGCTGCACACCAAACCAGCTCCTTAGCACCTGGAATTAATCTGCCAGTTCCCTCCTTAGTGGCTGAAGCCCTCACCCAGATGGATTCACCTCCACACCTTTGGAGTGAAGTGAGGAAACCTGGTGCAAAGAAGAACGCTAATTAAAGACCAGGGATCCCACCCTTGCTGCTCTCTCCCAGACCAAAAGCTGCCAGACCCACCTACCGTCTTCTCCTTGTTTTCAAACACCTCCTTGACTTCCTCGTAGCTACAGACCTCTTCCACGCACTCGCGCTCAATGGTGCCCTGGCGGAATTCTTCCAGGAAGCCATTGGCCCGTGGGAAGCGCTTCAGGATGGAATGGGCCTTTTGGGCTGCGAGGAAAGCTGAAAGACAGGCACAGACATGGGCTATCCTCCAGTCCAGGAACTGGCAGAAATGTCTGCCAGCATCCACGGCTCTGACCTCTCCGCCAGTTCCTATTCTTCCTCACCCTTGCTGCTTCAGTGCAGGACAAGTTCAGGGAAGGAACGGGTAGGTCCCCCGGCTTCACGTCCCCTCCCAGCAAACGTTTCCAGTGGCAGGAGAAGCAAGCACCGCTCATTTTCCTTAACCTGTGATTAAGGAAGTGGCACTGATCTAGTGTGGGCTGGGGCTTTAGCCACACGTCAAGTAGCCCAATTCACCTGACCACGTCATCAGCCACCTTGTTGATGAAGCATCCGCAGTCATGTTCACAGCAATAACTGTGTTGGGTGAAGAGGGAAAACGCTACCTTCAAACTGGAACAGCTAAAGATAACTTCAGTCTGCCTCAGCGGTGGGCTGGGGATCAGACGGAGGCAACACCACAAAGATGTGGCACTTTAAAAGGCTACCTGGCATGCAGTTAGGAGAAGGCAAGGGTGAGCCACGGGCATGGGAGAGGAGGCCCCTCCTGCCAAAGTAACCTCAGATCAGGGCAGTTCCAGCAATGGCCAAAATGCCCTTGACTCTCCACTAGGCCTGGGCCAATCCAAGGGCAGCCTTCCGCCCCCTCCTAACCGCATTTTTAGCCCTGGATCTGTTAAGCCCCTTCGAGAAGGTGGAACAAACTCAGCCAGCCACGTGTGGCCAAGGGTGGCAAATGCAGCCTACTTTTCCTCTCTTGGCTTTGAGCCCCCCTCCCCTGGGATGGATGGAAAACACGCCTCCCCCCTTGGGCAGAGAATTCACTTACTTGCCATGTTAGGTCTTCACCCCATTAGTTAAGGGGCTTGGCCAACTGTTAGGAAGAGAGCAAACCAGTTAAAAAACCCCAGTGGATTCTCTGGCTCTGCTTCCCCTCCTCCATGCCTGAGTGGCAAGGAAGGTTCTTGAGGCCCAGTTGCCCTGGCCAGCCCAGTGGCTGCCCTTCTTGTCTGAAGGAAGGCCAGACAGCACGCCCACAAGGTAAGGATGATGGAAAAACATCTCCAGAAGCTGAGAGTCCATGTCGGCAGCACAGTTGCCAGGAACATCAACAGATTTGTGGGGAGGGGGGGACTGAAGGCAGACCCCTGCATGCATGAAGTTCTACGTCAGATGATGGAAGACAAGCAGCATTCTCTTCCCCCCCCCCCCACCAGCATTGCACAATGCAGGGCTTCTGCGCAAGGAGGGGAGTGGCAATCCCATAGTCCAAATGTGATCTGCATCTCAGTTACAGACGTCGCAACCAGTGACCCGAGCCCCCCCCCCCTCCTCTCAGGCATCCTCTCCCCGCAATTTGGCTTGCAGGCTATCAAGGCTGCACGGGGAGTAAGAGCTTTGCCGCGAATGGAAGGGGCAACAGGAATGGCGGTATCAGCGGTGGTCTGGTCCGCCACTCGCGCGGGGGAGGGAGGAGTTTCTGCAGTCGTAGGGAGCAGCAGGGGAGCCGGGCAGAGCAGCCATTCCACACACCGCCGGCCCCCCCCACCGCATTTCCCAGAGGGAGAAGCCTTCCTGGCGTGCACGATCCCCTACCTCTGCCGTCGGGGAGGAGGTTGCCATGGCAACAGCGAGGCGGCGTACGGGAGGCAGCGAGGGCAGGATGCTGCTGACGTCATGCGCGCCACCCCCAGGCATCGGGAGCACCCACCGGTCCAGGCCTGCCAGAGCGCGCCCGCTCGCCT